CTAATACTAATACTAATACTAATACTAATACTAATACTAATAATAATAATAGTATCAATAAAACAGTAACAAGTTAATAGAAATCAATTCGTGTATATGCATGGACTGTCCTACGAGTGTTGGACAACTAACATCAACACAAAATATGTACAGTAACGACAGATATCTATTCACTTTGTGCTAGTAGTGAAAGATGACAGCGAATGCGACACTCAACAATTTACAGTCTTTTATTACCTTTTTTTTTTCTTTGAGTGTTCTTCTGAAGATCATCATCTTTTTAGAGTGCTATTGTGTTTTAAAAATTACTATTTTCCTAAATTCGTTGCCTTTCTAGACAAACATGTTTTCCTTAGCGGGCTTCAAATTTCAAGCATCCTTTGATAGCTTATTACAAATCGGATAAGTATTAGTTCACTGATATTTTACACGTGCAAACTTGATAAGAACACGAAATTCTTTTTTCTAAATTAAGTATATAGAACGGTTTTCAATAGAGTGTCGTAAAACCTAAAAACAAATAAATTACTTACCGATTAGACTACTTAGCCAATCTCAAACCGCAGTAAAACCAAAACCAAAGTAACTGCCTGATTGCTTTCGACACTCAATTGAAAACCGTTCTATCCCTTTGATCAGTTGCAGTCAGTGATATCAAATATCAACCTCAGCAAGCATTCAAACATTTGAAGGGGTCTTATTATACGATTTATTTCTCTATTTCTTTGTTTCCTTTTTTGACACAAAGAGCAATGCTCAACTTTTACTTCCACGTAAAATGTATGTGTTCATGTAACTGGTGCATTCTTCGTATTATTATTTTGTTCAGGACTGTTGGCTACGCCTCACAGACATCGAGGTCGAGAACGAAAGAAAGGTAACGCTAGTCGTTTGAGGCTCAACGAAAGGATGAACAACTCCGTTTCGGAGATGACAGCAATTACAACTAGGCAACAACGAAAACAATGCTCGGCGATAATTCGGCATTCTGAAACAATAAATGAAAAAGTTCAAAACCGAGTTACTAAACTGAAGAAGTTTGATTACAAAGACAACTACAAGAGACACGTTGTTACATGTGGTGCACTTGACAATCACAATTACCAGGACTTGGAATGGCATCCAAGTCAATATAAACATTCCTGTTATAAGAAGCACTGTCTTAGACAGCCTTGCCTCTCTCCTCGCTCTGAAAGTGTGAGAAAGGCGCGAGGCTTCCTTTCTCCAAATGACGCAATAGGCAATGCACATTAGCACAAGAGGAGTTGATAGGCTCGTTATTATGACGGACAAGAACTGATGGACGTCTATGATGACCAACCCTAGCAGCACTCGAGATGATGTTACAGCGATGGAGAGGATCCAAGGCGTTGCTATGGCTATGAAGTAACAGTGCAATGCCAACTGTCGATGACGAAGTGGTTGAACAATGGCGTTCAGTCTTTCAAGGGAAATGAACACCAATGTAAACACCGATGAAAAGCCAGTGAACATATCAACGCAGTCAAAAACAAGTGAAGAAACCAGCGTCTGTCGAGTGAACCACATGATCATGTACATTGGTATGGAAAACAGTCCGACCAGAAGGTCTGCCATGGCCAAACTGATCAGCAAGAAATGAGGACGTTTGCGAAGCCTTCGCTTCAAGAGAACCAGAATGGAAAGACAGTTCCCGAAAACGATCATGATAGCCATCACTCCAAAGCAAGCACTCCAAAACATATTCCAATTGTTGAAGTCCATTTTGGATGCTCTTGTAAATTTTTCCCTGAATTAATTGAAAGAACTGGTGAGCAATTAAGATATATGTAACGTCACTCACCTAGAATATAAAATTTTCTCTACAAGAGAGGGATAAAGAGCCCTAGTACAAGAGGTGTGTAGTTCATTTGTGTTTAAATCAGTATTGGTATCATAACTTAACACAACCAAGCATGCAACCTGACGTTATCCGTCAGTGTGACAGAGCGTTACGCACGGGTACGGCAGAGTAGGAGTTCTGGATTTATCAATCAGTGAGTAGGAGAATCATAACCGCTGCTTGATCCTACAAACATCATTGAAGGTCAACGAGAGTACAATGGCAGCAATTTGAAATAACGAGAAGTCAGCTTTTCAGTACCTGCCAATTACTCAATGAAACAATCAATCGATCAATCAATCAATCATTTAAAAAACGAGCAGATCAATCAATCAATCAATCACATGTCGATCAATCAACAGTCAATCAGCCAATCAAGTTCCATATTATATTACGTCCTGTCCACACATATTGTAAGCACCCACTGAGATCATAACGTCTAGCTTAAATTGATATCGATAATTTTCTTCTGTAAATTAGTGGTTGAGAAAGGCCAGGAATGTAAAGGATCTAAAGGAGCCTGACACCTTTGGCGAACAAGAGAAGGTCCATCCTTACCTCCACTATAACAGATCATGCCTCTTTTAAAGTACCCCTGGATCTGGGCTACATTAAATAATAACCAGAGAAATTTTGCCTCGAGGGTGATCTATAAGAAGAACTTCATCCCGAAACTCGTGTAGTTCTTCAATTCCTGAAGCTATTACCAAGCAATTACAGCATGCTCAAAGGATGATTTCTCAGTGTTGTGCCCAACNATCATGATAGCCATCACTCCAAAGCAAGCACTCCAAAACATATTCCAATTGTTGAAGTCCATTTTGGATGTTCTTGTAAATTTTTCCCTGAATTAATTAAAAGAGCTGGTGAGCAATTAAGATATATGTAACGTCACTCACCTAGAAGGTAAAATTTTCTCTACAAGAGAGGGATAAAGAGCCCTAGTACAAGAGGTGTGTAGTTCATTTGTGTTCAAATCAGCATGGGTATCCTAATTTAACACAACCAAGCATGCAACCTGACGTTATCCGTCAGTGTGACAGAGCGTTACGTACGGGTGCGGCAGAGCAGGAGTTCTGGATTGATCAATCAGTGAGGAGGGGAATCAAAACCGCTGCTTGATTCTACAAACATCATTGAAGGTCAACGAGACTACAATGGCAGCAATTTGAAATAACAAGAAGTAAGCTTTTCAGTATCTGCCAATTACTCAATGAAACAATCGATCGAACAATCAATCAATCATTTAAAAAACAAGCAGATCAATCAATCAATCAATCAATCTCATAGTCGATCAATCAACAGTCAATCAGTCAATCAAGTTCCATATCATATTACGTCTTGTCCAGACATATTGTAAGCACCCACTGAGGTCATAACGTCTAGCTTAAATTGATATCGATAATTTTCTTCTGTAAATTAGTGGTGGAAATAGGCCAGGAATGTAAAGGATCTAAAGGAGCTTGACACCTTTGGCGAACAAGAGAAGGTCCATCCTTACCTCCACTATAACAGATCATGCCTCTTTTACAGTACCCCTGGATCTGGGCTACATCAAATAATAACCAGAGAAATTTTGCTTCGAGGGTGATCTATAAGAAGAACTTCATCCCGAAACTCGTGTAGTTCTTCAATTCCTGAAGCTATTACAAAGCAATTACAGCACGCTCAAAGGATGATTTTTTTCAGTGTTGTGCCCAAATTTAGAAAAACCACGAGTGGGAGTTCTGCCGCTATAAATAGTTTGCCGTAAACGTACGTACATTTGAAGCAGCACATAGTTGTAATTCACGACATCGTTTTCCTAAACCAAATGTCCTCAATTTCATAACTTGGAGAGCAAGCGTGCGGGATTTGTTAACTGGATCATACGTCTTCAATGTTCTATCTCCGTATTTGTTTGAACAAACCTTTCGAAATGCGATGCGTATGTTCGCTAGTTATTTCTACACAAATATCTTGACAGTGTTATATAAGAAAAATGTGTCAAAGGTTACCTGCTTGGAGAGACTTGCCCTCAGGTTTCTGCCGTCTCACAAAGCCAAAAACTGTTCCGACCATTCATGTTTCTACCGCAGTTTCCGAGATTGTCTGTAGCTGGCTGCTACAGACTAAATCTATAATTACGAGTCAGCTTAAGCGATGAAATTTTTCATTTACTTAGCCAAGCCAAATATTGTCCTTCCTTTGTTAAGTTGAATTATTTATGTTAGTGTTTTAAATGTGGCATAAGTATGTGTTTTGTGTAAAGTAAACTCGTCGTTTGTGCGTTTATCAACGCAGTATTTTTTCTTTATTTTTTCATTATTTAGTAATAGTTTTGAAGCAATTGATCACAATAAAAACTAAAATCTAGTTTGTGATACAGTTGATGACTCACACGAAACATCTCGGATTACGGTAGACCATTGCGCATAAAATATCTATTTACGTAATTTGGCAATATACACAAACCTGGCAGATGAAAAGAAATCTCACAAATGCCTAATTTGGGGTTTTATTGGGACATATATTTATAGCAAAGAAAAATTCTCGGCATTCAAGTCAGCCGAAATTGCTGAAAAAAAATTGCAAAAAAAGAAAAAAGAACAAACAACCGGAAAGTTTTGTTGACTTCAGCACGCAAACTAATTCGTATAAGTTTCCACAAATGCCTTGACCTAAGGACACTTAGATATTCCTGTGTAAACACAGAACACTTTCGTTGTGTGAGTAACATCATTACAGTTCAAATACAGGGAAGAAAGGCAAACAAAACTAGGGCAGGATGCCATCGAGACAACAAACATTGCCCTTCGGGTGGAAATGGTACGTCTGCAA